TAATATTGACTAAAACAAACTAATGTTCAATAGTTATTCTTTTTCATGCATTTCCACTTACTAACAATTCATATAATTGTTTTATGTAAATCAACAAGTTAAGTTTTATCATAGTGAGTAAAGGTGATCTTATCCAACAACTAATATGTCGTTCATTTGGTGAAACGCTAGGGGGAAGTTAAAAATGTTTTTTACCCCTGAAATAAATTTGATAGTCTCGTCGATATGATCTATCTATTTGTTATTTTATTTATTTATTTCAGTATTTTTGTTTTATTTTTATTATTAGATGCATTCATGAATAAATTATTGCATCAAGTTTGGTTCAATCTCAAAGAAGAAATTTATTAATGGCATGGAAATGATCATAATAGCCACGATCTTCGAACACAAAATAGAAAGTTTATGAAGATTTATATAACCTAATGCTCTTACATCATGCACAAATTAACTAAAGTGAAATAGTTCAAGAGTTTTTGCCTTCTATGCATTTCTCGTATTAACATATCATTTAGTTGTTCTCAAGTAACTCGGAAGGCTTGATTTTATCATGGTGAGAAAGATGATCTTATCTGATAATGAATATGTCATGCACTGGGTATAACACAAGAGAGAAGTTAAATTCTATCGTTATTATTGAATTTATCATAATCTCATTGATATAAACAACGTGTCTCTATATTTTTTATATTCTAGCCTTCTTGTTCTGTTTTTGTCCTTGAATGCAATATGTTCTTCATGCATATCTGTTTGTGTTTCATAAGGCTTCAAAATGTAAACAATATATCATAATAGTATTGCCATGTTAATGCATCATTCAGCAGCCCCTTCCTATTTCTCTTTCTTTTTTTTCCTTCTATTTAATCTTAAATCTATTAGCATGTTTTTCTTTATCGGCTTCCTTTGTTGCTCTCAAGATTAATTTTGCTCTCAAAATTGAAAGCAATTTAGTTTCAATGTACAAAATTAGTCTGAAAATATCTTAACAGTAAATCTTTTGAAATAAAATTTTAAGACTTAATATCACACTTATATGCATTGATTAAGCATCTGGTAAGAAATATGTTTTCCTTAGTGAAAAAATTTCATTTTTTGTTATGAGTTTTTTAAAAAATAGTAAGATAAGTATACAAAAATAAGACCCTCATTAATCAAAATTGAATGGATCACATGAACCGGGAAGCAGAGTCAAATTCTCCCGTATAAATATATGTTTGAAACTCTTGTTTAGATATATGTTCAGACTTAAAACAGAAGAGATTATTGGTTTTAGATTGAAAGATCTTTTAGCTGTTGTGGATCGACTTCAAATGGTGCTCGGGTGAGAGCACACTGCACGATAGTTGTCTTCAAGAAAGCTATGACATCTCTATAGAACTAGCTCCTGCTAACAATATAACCAATCTATCCAATCCATATGCAGTGTCCCCTGCATTTCAAAAGCATTGCCAGCAAATGTTTTATTCTAAATTCAGTAGCTGCCTTCACATAATAGCTACAATATGATCAACATTTGATACCTACACCGAACTTAGAGCAAAGAAGGATGTCTTCATGTGAAAAAGATATAAATTGTAGACATACACGAGTTGTAGATCCAGTGTAAAAATATAGAAAATAGAAATTCAAATGGAATAGAAATAAGAAAAAAATTAAGAAAGAGAATAATATGCTGAGCAGATTTGTGATTCCAACATAGCACCAAATTCAACATAGGAGTGTAATCGCCAGATTTGTGATTAAATACGTATATACATTTCAATACAACGACACTTATATCTGTACATGCATCATCTTTTTAATGAATAATTTATTTTTATTTTCCCTATCATGTCGTTCTTACAAATTTTTTGTTAAATAAGAATAAATTAACTATATTATACTTTTAAAGTTGATCTATATATAGATCTACTACTTACCTTCTCTACAACCTATATGTTCTATTTTTATTTGGATTCATACAGTCATTTAGTATCATACATACGTTTAAATTGTACATAAGAAAATACTGGATTATAACTTTTACGTAATTTAATTCTTCTGCATGCTAATTATTCCATAAATTTACCTGAAGAACAAAAACTCATGCTTGTGTAATCTAATATCTATCTCTAACCTGAAAGCTTTTGATATTGAAAAATTCTAGTATGCTTACCTCAAGCTCTAAACTTTCCTCAATCTCTCGAGGTATGGTGTACAATAAATATGAGATAATAGGTCACTGTATATATATATACACACACACATATATATATAATAGAGGCTAAACTCTTGTATATATGTGTTCTATATTTTGTATGGTGAATATAAATGAGTAAATATTTTGATAATAATTGTTTATATATTAAAATAATAGATATTACGATATGTTATATAGGTAGCAGTTGATAGTGTCACAACGCATGAAAAAAAAAGCGCAGTAGAATGTTTGAGATATATACATATATATATATAATCAAGCTCAAAGGGTTTTAAGGAAAAAAAACTTATATTAAGAACTAGATGCAGTATCACTGAACAATTACAAAATACTTAAACTAATAACATAAAATAAGATGCCTCTTATTTTCTAGAACAAACCCTTACTCGTTAGAAGCTAAAATCCTAAAACCCAACATAATATAAAGACTAATACTGAGGCATTTACTGTGCCAGAGAAATTAAAAATTCATTTTAAATAAATAACAAAAGTTCGCTTAGAAGAATCCTTGGCAAAATCAATGATGATGTGGAGGCATCATGTTCGGATTGTTGAATGGAACAATGCTAAAACTTAATCCAGCAGGCTTTGTCTCAAAAGGAAGACCTGCTCCACAGGAAGAACTTCCCAGAAAAAAAGGATGGTTAGGATGATGATGATGAGGATGAGGATGAGAAAGATGAGGATGAGGAAGATGAGGATGAGGATGAGGAAGATGAGGATGAGGATGATGATTATTTTGGGTATGAATCACAATCTTCTCAGCTTGCTTAGCCACATTCTTCTTTTGTTCATCGAGAGAGGCCTTCAGTTGTTGAAGTTGTGTCAAGCTCATATCGTTCTTGCGAGCCATCCACCAACATTGATTCTTATTTGCCTTTTTCATATGGTTAAGCTCCTCGCCTCGCTTCTTCTCGATTTCGAGTTGGTTCAGAACCTGTACATGTAGTAAAATTAATATATATTATTTATACCGAAAACGCTTTATAAGAGAGGAAAGAAATAAAATAACCTGAGTGAGCTGCATGTTTAGCTCACGGACACTAGTGTTCCGATGAGCCTCAATGAGTTTCATGGTTCCAGAAGCAGCTTGTGGTGGATTACCACTAACAAAACGTTCCAACACAGTCTGGACAAAAGGATGGCCAAAAGAGAAGACCTTCTGACCGGGTGAGAAGACGATAATAGCAATCTTAGCCCCACATAGAGTGCTCAATTCACTCGCCTTCTTGAAAAGTCCGGCTCGACGTTTGGAGAAAGTGACTTGGAGATTGCTTTCATTATTCATCTTCGCCATCTCAACCTTTTGTCGTCCCTTACTCTTTCTCGCCATGGTCACAAGTATTGAATATGTGCAGAGAGAAATTAATAGAGAGATTAATGGAGAGAAATAATTTGTATTGAAAGAGGGGGAAATGAGTGATATTTATAGGAGATTTGAATCAAGGTTGTGAATTAATAAATTTTAGGTAGACATCCTGTATATATTTTCTTGTTTTAATAATTTACTTGTTTAGGGTTGCTTGAGAATCTCCTCCTTATTGAAATATATGGTAGGAAAAATTTGGACAATTAAAGTTAAATTTTAGCTGTACTTTTATACAATTTGCAAAATCATCATTATTTTAACATATATAGATACATAGCTAGATGGATATACATGAAAATCGAACCTTCTTGAAAATTTTACATTTTTTATGTTATATATATGTATATATATTCTCGATATTAATTTGGGATTGAGAAGGTAAGAGAGCTACTTTTAATTTTATTTATTTGTCTATTGTTAGGAGACACACTGAATCAAATTGCAATGATAAAAATCCTTAGATAATTTCTGTTAAAGTAATAAAAAATTTAAAAATGTATTATAAGATATATTAAAATTTAAAAACTATGATGAATTCTTTATAAAATTAATTGATCATTAGTACTATGGATAATTTTAATTTTATTTATAAGCATTAAGGAAGGATCAAAGTTGTAAATTAAATTATAACTATCAATTGGATCACATTTAAAATTCAAAATTTTAAATAATTAAATTTAATTGTGACAGTCGATTAACCTTCATAACAATAAAGTTTTAATTCGATTGCGTGTGATATTCAATTAAACTTAAAATTCATATAATTCATGTTTAGCTCTTTCAAAAGGTGACTTACAATTATTTTACTTGTACAACACTTCAACTTGAGCCTGCTTAAACAAAATCCAATTTCTTTGATCCATTTGATTGAAAATTTCTATTTAATACTGTTTGGTCCTAATATAAAAACTTCCATGCATTTTTTAGGGAATTTTTATTTAAATTATATCTCATACAATTGAGTAAGTTAAATAAACAATTAACATTTAATGAAGATATTATCCATACTTGGAATATATATTCCCAAATATATAGATATATTTCCATACTTAGATAAGTACTCTCGATAAAATATTTCCCATGAATATTACCTAATTTCATTATTGATTTATTTTAAGATTAATTAATCACATTAAAGTAGTAGAATTTTCTTAGCTACTATTTATGTGTTATAACAATTTTCTTAGCTGGAGCTTATACATGTGACCCACATAGGCTTAGTATTAAATTATTTATAGGACTTAACCAATATAATTGATTTATTATGACTAAACACTTTTGACTCATCATTGTGATTTATTTATCGCATCAATAAATTGGATGAACATACAGGTCACCAAGAGTGTCATCTAATAAATGTATCACAACTCTTACAATGTATAAAAATTTGATCATGAAATTCAATAGTTTGTCCGTGGATGCATAATTACCATATAGTTAATTCATTTCATTTATTATATTTTAGATTAATTCAAGATGTGACTTGTACCAACCATTATTTAACTGAATAGTTGGTATATTTCTTCCTATATAAGAGATTGTACTTCCTTGTATGTTTTTAATTAAATATTATTTATATTGTTTTAAATTTGATGTATATATATATTAGTTAATTAACCAACACAGGTATTTATTCAAAAATAGAGACTCATAATTGTCAACGTAAAAACTTAACTCGCATAAATATGACATAATTGAAGGTTTTCCCAAAGATGATTCATGTTCTTATCGAAGCACGATTATGTGACTTTAATATCTTTTTTTTTTTATATTTAGACGTTACCTTTGTCTTGAGTTAATGAGTTAAAAGTAAATTACTTAAAATATTTTCTCCTATTACAACTCTTAGAATAGTTGGTTGATTTCAACTTGAAAATAAAAATAAATGCATAGATAAAAAAATTATGTTATTATTACACTCTTTGAAAGTACCACAACACTACAATGAAAAGGAACATGATGAAAATCCAAATGCTAAGGCACCAGATATCTTACATAAATAAAATAAAACAAATTGCAAGCATCGTGTTTACAACTCTTTTTAATCATCCTTCCAAGACTTAATCAAGAAATGCACTTAGTAGAATCTTTTTTTCCCATTTCCTTGAATATATATATTGGGATTATCCTTGAACACGTTAGGTATCGCGTTTGGGTCGTTCAATACATGAGGCATCATGTTTAATTTGTTCTGAATTATAATCGTCTCAGCTTCTTTAGTAAATTTCTTCTTCAATTCCTTAAGAGATGTCTTTAAATGCTCAAGTTGTGAGAAACTCATTTCCTTTTTCGGACCCATCCACCAACACTTACTCTCACATTTTTTTTTTTGTATTTCCTTAAGCTCCGCATTGCGATTTTTCTCGATTTCCATTTGATTGATAACCTATTTTTATATATTTCAAATAATAAGTACAAGTCAGTATAGGTTTTAATCCAAAAAAAATAAGATCAAATAAGTATATTAAGTTTTAAAATCTAAATATGGTCTACTCAAACCTGTGTGAGGATCATATTGAGCTCATGTATCCTTAAGTTGCGGTGAGCCTCAATGAGCGTCATGGCTCCTGAAGTATCTCGTGGAGGATTACCATAAATGAAATATTCAATCACTTTTTCAACACAAGGATGACCAAAAGAAAAAGCCTTCTTACCTGGGGAAAAAACAATCATCGCAATATCAACGTCACAAAGAGTGGACAATTCACTAACTTTCTTAAAAAGACCAGCTCTTCGTTTTGAGAAAGTTACTTGGAGGTTGGTTTCGTTACTCATCTTCACCATCTCAATCTTTTGACGGCCCTTGCCCTTCCTATCCATTGCTAAAAGTGAAAGAAAAAGACGATGTGAAGAAAAGATAAAAAAGTTGGTTTATAATTTACTAGGAACTGATAGAAAATGTGTAGTGTTTATAAGAGTCGTCGGACTGACATTATTATTTTGTGCTATGCAACATCAAACTTCATTTAAATGGATTTTCTATATAAATTTTTTAATCTTTAATTACTTACTCATTTGGATTCATCAGATTGGAAAATATCATTTTGTACTATCCAACATATAACTTGATTTATAAATGTATTAGCTTTAATTACTTACTCATTTGGAGTCAACAGGTTAGAGATTATCATTTTGCACTATCGAATACATAACTCGATTTAGATTAATTTTCTATATAAATTTTTTAACTTTAATTATTTATTCATTTGGAGTAGATTGCCTATTATCATTTTGCACCATCCAATATATAAACTGATTTATAAGTTTCTTAACTTTAATTACTTATTTATTGGGAATTATCAGGTTGGACATTATCATTTTGCACTATTCAATATTTAACTTGATTAAGAGAGATTTTTTATATAAATTTCTTACCTTTAATTACATCCTCATTTGGAGTTACCAGGCTAGGCATTATCATTTTTCACTATCAAACATATAATCTGATTTAGATAAATTTTCTATATAAATTTCTGCCTTTAATTACTTACTCATTTGGAAGTCATCAGGTTAGACATTATTATTTTGCACTATCTATAACTTGATCTAAATGGATTTTTTGCATAAATTTCTTAGCTTTAATTACTTGCTCATTTGGAGTCACCAAATTGAACATTATCATTATACACCATCCAACATATAGCTTGAGTTAGGTGGATTTTCTGTATAAAATTTTTAACTTTAATTACGTACTCATTTGGAATCATCAGGCTGTGCATTATCATTTTGCACTATTCAACCTATAGTTTAAGTTAGGTAGATTTTTTATAAAAATTTCGTGGATTTAATTACTTACTCATTTGGTGTTACCAGATTGACTTTATCATTTTGCACTATCCAATATATTGCTTGAGTTAGGTGAATTTTTTATATAAATTTCTTAACTTTAATTACTTACTCATTTGGAGTCACTAAGTTTGACATTATCATTTTTCACTATCCAATACACAATTTAATTTAGATTAATTCACTATACAAATTTATTGGCTTTAATAACTTACTTGTTTGGAATCATTAAGTTGGACATTATCATTTTTCACTATCCAACACAACTTGATTTAGATGAATTTTCTATATAATTTTTTTTCGGTTTTGATGACTTACTCGTTCCGAGTCACTAAGTTGGGCATTATTATTTTATATTGTTCAATATATAATTTGATTTAGACGAATTTTCTATGTAAATTTATCGGCTTTAAAAACTTACTTGTTTGGAATGCTTTACAATCACCTCATTGAAATATGTAGTAAAAAAATCTTGAAGATTGATATAATATTACCTATAAGTTATACGAATTTACCACTTCCAAATCATCCTTGCTTGTAGAACGAAATGAGATGAATCTTCTTAGAAATAGTTATTAGCAGCCACATTTTCTTGCTTATCAAATTTGACAAGATAATAAAAATAGTGTCAGGATCTGTGCAAGGATGAATAAAATTTGAATTACACATCCCAATACACAGTATTAGATAATTACAAACCTATTTTCTAATATATATATATATATCAAATTTAGGAAGATAATGAAAATATTTTTCATGTTTCTCCATACATGAATAATAAATTAGTCAACAAAAAATTACAAGCTTGGTAATAAAATTATAGCGAATATTGCAAAACCACCATGAAGTTTTAATAAGTTATATATAAAAAGAAATTAAAATTTAAAGAAGAAAATCCCAAAGTACAGAATATCATACAATTACCACCCTACTAATTATTTTAAAAACCATTTTCATATTTACAACCTTAGATTTAATAGGTTTTGATGAAGCTTCTCTATAGAACTATTCCGATTTGGCTCAATTCTTCAACATGGTGAGTTGTCTTTCATAGTACATTATCTTTCTTAACGCTTTCGATGATTGCTCATCTTCTCTAATCTTCTCTACATTGATTCAAAATTATTTATACTCTATTTGAATCCATAGGGACTTAAATGTGTTTCCATGAGAGATATTTTAGTCAAAATTTTAGGATTATCTAACTAAATTTTTATATTTGCTTTTTCATTAATCTCGTCATTCTTCCCAATAAATTTACAACAAAATGAAAGGATTTAGGTACTCATGTTTTTAATCAAATATTCTCAATTGGAATTCATATTTTTTTGAAGGAATCTGTCTTCGAGGGTAGTTTTTTTTTTTTTGGAAAAAACTCAAACCCGAAAGAGATTGGGGTTCCTCACCAGTGTCTGTCATAAGTAGCAGTTATGCTGATGAAAAAGCACAAAATATTTTATAAAAATTTTGTAAATATAGAACATTGTTGTAATGTTTTCAATTAATTTTTTCAATATGAGATATTATATTAACAACACTCGATTATTTATAATATACTGAAATATCATATTTTTGATATAAAATATAACACGTTGCATAGTAAATTTATTAAGTACGCATATATATTTTAAGATAACGAGCACTTGTATCCGTATTTGCATAATGCATTATATAGGTAGTAGTTAATAGTGTCACAACGGAAGATAAAAAGAAATAACGTAGTAGAATCTTTGAGAGAGAGAGAGATTATATATATATAATCAAGCGCAAAGGGTTTGAAGGAAGAAAATTTATATTAAGAACTAGATGCAATATCATTGAACGATTACAAAATACTTGAACAAATAATATAAAATAAGATGCCTCTTATTTTCTAGAACAAACCCTTACTCATATTAGAAGCTAAAATCCTAAAACCAAATAAAATCTAAAGACTAATCCTGAGGCATTTACTGTGTTGGAAAAATTAAAAATTTGTTTTACATAAATAAAAAAAGTTCACTTAGAAGAATCCTTGGTCAAATCAATGATACTTTGGAGGCATCATGTTTGGATTGTTTAATGGAACAATGTTAGAACTGAATCCAGCAGGATTTGTATCAAAAGGAAGACCTGTTCCACAGGAAGAACTTCCCAGAAAAAAGTATGGTTAGGATGATGATGATGAGGATGAGGATGAGGATGAGGATGATGATTATTTGGGGTACGAATCACAATCTTCTCAGCATGCTTAGCCACATTCTTCTTCATCTCATCGAGAGAGGCCTTCAATTGTTGAAGTGTGTTAAGCTCATATTCCTTGGGAGCCATCCACCAACATTGATTCTCATTTGTCTTTTTCATATGGTTAAGCTCCTCGCCTCGCTTCTTCTTGATTTCGAGTTGGTTCAGAACCTGTACATGAAGTAGAATTAATATATATTATTTATATTGAAAATGTTTTATTAGAAAGAAAAGAAATTAAAATAACCTGAGTGAGCTGCATGTTGAGCTTACGGACGCTAGCGATCCGATGAGCCTCAATGAGTTTCATGGTTCCAGAAGTAGCTTGTGGTGGATTACCACTAACAAAACGTTCCAACACAGTCTCGACACAAGGATGACAAAAAAAAAAGACCTTTCGACCGAGTGAGAAGACGATAATAGCAATCTCAGCCCCACATAGAGTGCTCAATTCACTTGGCTTCTTGAAAAGTCCGGCTCGGCGTTTGGAGAAAGTGACTTGGAGATTGCTTTCATTATTCATCTTCACCATCTCAACCTTTTGTCGTCCCTTACTCTTTCTCGCCATAGTTACAAGTATTGAATATATGCAGAGAGAAATTAAAAGAGAGATTAATGGAGAGAAATAATTGTATTGAAAGAGGGGGAAATGAGTGATATTTATAGGAGATTTAAATCAAGGTTGTGATTAATAAATTTTAGGTAGACATCCTGTACATATTTTCTTGTATTAATAACTTACATCGTTAGGGTTGCTTGAGAATCTTCTCTTTATTGAAATATACGGTAGGAAAAATCTAGACAATTAAAGTTAAATTTTAGCTGTACTTTTATACAATTTGCAAAATCATCATTGTTTTAACATTTATAGATACATAGCTAGATGGATGAAAATTGAACCTTCTTGAAAATTTTACATTTTTTATGTTATATATATGGATATATATTCTCGATATTAATTTGGGATTGAGAAGGTAAGAGACCTACTTTTAATTTTATTTATTTGTTTCTTGTTACGAGACACAATGAATCAAATTGCAATGATAAAAATCTTTAGATTATTTATGTTAAAGTAATAAAAAATATAAAAATGTATTATATGATATATTAAAATTTAAAAACTATGATGAATTCTTTATAAAATTAATTGATCATTAGTACAATGGATAATTTTAATTTATTTATAAGCATTAAGGATCTAAGTTGCAAATTATAACTATCAATTGGATCACATTTAAAATTCAAAGTTTTAAATAATTAAATTTAATTATGGCAATCGATTAACCTTCATAACAATAAAGTTTTAATTCGATTGCATGTGATATTCAATTAAACTTGAAATTCATATAATTCATGTTGAGTACTTTCAAAAGGTGACTTACAATTATTTTATTTGTATAACACTTCAACTTGAGCCTGCTTAAACAAAATCCAATTTCTTTGATCCATTTGATTGAAAATTTCTATTTAATATTGTTTGGTCCTAATATAAAATCTTCCTTGTTTGCATACTTAACATTTAATGAAGATATTATCCCTGCTTGGGATATATTCCCAAATATATAGATATGTTTACATACTTAGATAAGCACTCTCAATAAAATATTTTCCCTGAATATTACCTAATTTCATTATTGATTTATTTCTTAGCTGGAGCCTAGTAGAATTTTCTTAGCTAGCATTTATGTGTTAATAGAATTTTCTTAGTTGGAGCTTATGCATGTGGCCCATATAGGCTTAGTATTAAATTATTTATAGGACTTTAACCAATATAATTGATTTATTATGACTAAACACTTTTCATTCATCAT